GACAATAAAAGATAAAATCACACATCTCTATGAAGTTTATACCACCGCCACTGACGTACCATCCATTGATACGAAGAACATAAGGGAAATACATGCAGCTCACCTTTTACATAATAAACAACTAAAAAACTAATTTACACATATACATAATACAAAAAATTATCTGTACGATTATTATCTTAATATTGATAGTTATAAACTTAACTTCCCTGTTCCTCCTGCTCAAGAGTTAGCCCTCACCCTTTACACCTAAAAGCCTGTAATTTAAAATGTTTACGTTTATTATTGAATAATAATTCCTTAGTGGCGTTTCGTATTTTCTTACTTTCGTAAATATACATAAATAAATTTTTGTAAAGTCAAATACACGGTATATATATGCTACAATCGTTAAATGTAATGCCAGTAAAAAATGGAAACGAAATATATGTGAATCAATTGTGACACTGCGGCAAACATAATGTCGATTAAACTGTACAATCGTGGCTATGTAAAGAGATGAAATTTCCGTTGAACCGTAAGTTGCCAAAATAACGAATTCTAATTAAAGTGATAATAATGCTAATAACAATATTATTATTAGAAATAATATCATTAATTACAACTAGTAAACTTAACGTAAAAATTTCGTACATAACTACAAAAACTTTGTACGCATTTTAACCAGTGCCAGTTTATGAAGTGATTATTAAAAAAAAAATTCTATCTTTTTAATTATATTTAAACTTGCGGTTCGAAGTCATAGATACATTCAAATTTTTTATCCGACTATATATAATTTCATACTGTCAATTAAATTCTACAATATGGAAAACGTCTATTACATTGAACCTGTATTCTATTTATGTTATTTAGTACGAAAAGAATTTTTTTTTTTATTACTTATTAATGAAACAAATTAATTCTTTTTTATACTGTGATTAATTATCTGCCGATCTAATAAATAATATCTTATTTTAAATGAATTAGAATATAAGATTTTAAAAAAAAATTATTTTAATTTTAATTTTATATTATAGATTATCCTTTTTTTTATAAATCATTTTTTGTTCGTTTTTTTTTTAAATTGATTTATAATTGCGTTTAACATTATATATTGTTCTTTATATATTGTTTTTACATATTATTGCTTGGTATATTGGGTTTTAGGTATCAAAAAAATTGAAAATATTTATATGTATTGTACACTTAAACAGTAAAATAATGAATTTTATAATTTTAATGATAAAAATAACTGATATAGAATATAAATATATTAAAATTATTCAATTATACATTTTTTTAATAATACAAATTTATATTATTCAATTGTTAGAAAACCGTTAATATATCTAATATTTCGATGTGCATATATTTACATGTACGCAATATTTATTGAAAAAGGTTAATTCGAATGACTGAAAATAATTCACTAATGAAATATGTAATTATAATAAAATTTTTAATTTAGATTTATATAATAAAAGATTAAAATTGTTATGGTAAAAAATTGATAAAAATATGTAGTAAAATAATATATTGTCTGTGATAATATTAAAATATATTGAATTTAATTGGAAACAGAGATCTATAGGAAATGTTTATAAATTAAATTTAACAATTCAATATAAAGAATTCAAATTTTCTTTTACTGTGCACAGTTCAGAAGTTTGTCTCCAAGGCGAATAAAGACAAGAAGAGTTTTCCCCTCCTTCAATCACTAACACACAGTCCTGTATAATTTTATTTGTAGATGTGACACTTTAAACTATTGTGTGTGCTTATTTGTACGATTTTGTTGGCTCTGTAAGAAATAACCAATCGGAGTGATATTCCTTCTAGGAACTAAACTCTGTACTCTGTACAATAACCATGCTTTAGGTGGTTCTTACAATGTTTTTCGAAGTCCTAGTTTCATGTTTTTGTTTACATTATGAGTTACATGTGTATAATAACAAGTACAATAATAATAATTTAACACTGTCCTATTTTCACACAATTCTTAAAAATATATAAAAATAAATATCTGGATTTAAGTTAAAATTATTACATAAACTTAAAATATTACTTTATAAAAAAAATTAAATAATAATGCTATGATTAATTATTTACGTTTTATTTCTGTTTAGTTTTACTTTTTTCTATCAAAAATTTTGACATAGCACATTTTTTTTGGTTTCTATTAAACCAAGTAATTTGTAATTATGAACGATGAACAAATTGTTTTAACATTGCCTCCTACTCAAGATGCAGAATCAATATGTTTTACTCAATCACAAGAATTAATACAAGAAAAACCTATGATTGTATGGGGTAGATTATGTCCAAGTAAATTACCTTTTAGAACAATGGGTATGAATATATGTTTTTCATATTAATTATTTATTAATAATTTACTATTATATATTATATTATATGTTTCTTATATGTTATATTAATTTCAATTTATAAACATAATTTATTAAAATGTTGATATTAAGCAAAAATAATTATTTTTATAGAAATGACCAAAGATGTTTATACACTTGGTCGCTCACAAAACTGTGATATTTGTATAACCAATAATGAATTAAAACCAAAGTGGCTTAGTGTAATGAGTAAGATACATTTCAAGATAACTAGAGAATTTATTGATGATAATACTAATGATGCCATAGTATATTTAGAAGACTTAAGCCAAAATGGAACTTTTGTTAATGGAAAAAAAGTAGGACGTGGGAATAAAGTAATTCTTGAAAGCAATGACAAAATAGCTTTAGCACAACCTGTAGTTACTGGTAAATATTTCATATTTTATATAAATATATGCAAATATAAATTTTCTACATAAGCTTTATATTTTATTTATAATGTTACAACAGTTTATGTCTTCATGAGTACAACAGCTTTTGAAAGTAATAATTTACCACCTGAACTCAAAAGTAAATATACAGTATCACGTAAATTAGGATCTGGAGCATGTGGAGAGGTGAAAATGATATTTAATAAAGTTGGTTGTAAAAAATTTGCCTTGAAAACTATTATGAAATTAGGTGGTACAACAAATGGACAAAAACATCCGTTAAATGATCCTGAAAAAATTATGAATGAAGTTAAAATTTTGAAAGCTCTAAAACATGTAAGTTAATATATAAATTATTAAAATTGTGTAATATATTAATATATTTTCTATTTTTTAGCCTTGTATAATTCGAATGGAAGAAATTGTGGATACCCCAAAAGCAGTATATATAGTTTTAGAATTAATGGAAGGTGGTGAACTTTTCGAAAGAATAAAAAATAGAGGAAGATTATCAGAAAAACATGCAAAATTAATCTTTTATCAGGTTGTATTAGCTGTTAGTTACCTTCATGACTGTGGTATAACTCATAGAGATTTAAAGGTGTTTATACTTTTTAAATATTTTTAGTAAAGTATTTAATTCAAAATATAAATTATAAATGAATTATTTTTATATTAATAGCCAGAAAATATATTATTAGCTAGTAATTCAGATATTACATTAGCAAAAGTATCAGATTTTGGTTTATCAAAATTAGTTGATGCTCAAACTATGATGAAAACATTTTGTGGAACTCCTATGTATGTTGCACCTGAAATATTATCTACTATTGGACGAGGTTCTTATACAAATCAAGTATGTTTATCTGCATAAAAAACACATATAATAAATATAAAATAAATTTATACTATTCATATTTGTGAATTTATTAGGTTGATGTATGGAGTTTGGGAGTAATATTATATGCTTGTTTAAGTGGTTCAGTTCCTTTTAATTGTCAAGATAAAAATATTAGTTTACAAGATCAAATAAAAAAAGGACAATATAGCTTTCCTCCTTCAAAATTTGGACATATAACAAGTAAAGCTATAGATTTGGTACAGTATTATCTAATAAAATATTATTGAATTAAATTATATAAATAAAAATATTTGTATTTTTTAATAATATGATGATTTTAGATTAAACGAATGATGACAGTTAATCCAAAGAAAAGGATTACAATCAAACAAGTTTTGTTACATCCTTGGTTACAAGACCGTGAACTTCGAGAAAGTATTGACATGATATTATCAAAAGAAAATGATGAAAATATACCACCTGAAAGTATTTCTTCTAATATTCAATGTAGAAATGAACAGTATCAAAATTTGATCAAAAGAGCAAGATTAGAAATATAGTTAATAATTTAACTTAGGTAATATATAAATACTTTTTAAAGTTGTTTATTAAATTTATTTCCGTTATATTAGAATGAAAAAGTTTTGCATTACATACATTTTGATCTAATATTATTTTGAAAATCATTGAAATCTATTTGTTACAAATTAAATATTTATAATGTAAATCGATTAATTAAATAATGTCAGATTAGATTAATCAGTCTAAGTTTAGACATATCATAAAAGTTCAATCCAATTATTCATTGAGTTAACAAGAGAGATAAATTAAAGTAATAATACTTTAAATTAATTATTTCATTTTATTTTAATAGTATCATTTAATAATAATAAAAACAATAATTATTAAATTCTAATCTATTTGTTATAAATGAAGCATTAATATAAACTGAATAATTCAATATTTAAAATTTAAGTTTATAAGAATTTAATTTAATTTTTCATTGAATTAGCAAGGAAAATAAATTAACATACAATATAAATTAAATATTAAATTAATTTAATCTTCACAAGTATACATATAGTATAAATATAGTATAAATAAAATTAAAAATATAGAAAACTAAGTGATATGAAACTGATATGTACAAAATATTATATTTTATATTTTTGTGTGTTGTGTGTTTTGTAATGATTATTAAAAATTCGTTATTTTTGTATCAATTTTTGTTAAAATTTTCGTATATATTAATACAAATAATTTTTTCAATATATCGCGAAAACTAAACAATCATTTTTTTCATTTCATCGAAAAAAAATAAACTCTTGTATATAATAAGAAAATGCAATTTATATACAATTACAAATCGTATAAAGATGTAATATTTTATTGATCACGTTTTTCATTTTTATCTATTCCTCTCTACATTGGTACTCTTCTTCGCCTCGACATGGATTTGGAAGTGGAGTTTCTATATCTGGTCGTTCTTTTTGAGCAAGTCCCGCTAACAATCGTTTTATTTGAGCTACTGCTTTTCCAGGATTCAAACCCTTTAAAAAATATTTATATAATACTAGAAAAAATATTATTAAAAATGATCTAATTTTTTATTTTTTTAAATTTTATTGAGTTATGAACTTAATATTTCATACCTTCGGACAAGTTTTTGTGCAATTGAAAATAGTATGACATCGATATACCGAATAATAATCACGTAATTTAGTAAGTCTTTCTTTGTGTCCCATGTCACGTGAATCTATTATCCACCTATAAGCCTACATGATAAGAAAATTAAAATTAGATTTAAAATTTTATTTCTTATTTATAAAATTATTTTTTGTACAAATGATCAAATTTTTTATATATACCTGCAAAAGAGTTGATGGACCTAAAAATTTATCACCGAGCCACCAATACGGTGGACAAGCAAAAGTACAACATCCACATAAGATACACTCATATAAGCCATTAAGTTTATCTCTATCTCTTGGACTCTGTAAAATTTGCCGTAAACCGACATAATTATCTTCTCCAGTTCGTTTTAAAAATGGCTCAATATTTTTATATTGTTTCAAATATTGTTCCAAATCCGTTACTAAATCTCTAATTACATATGCGTGTGGTAAAGGATAAATAACTATGGGTTTTGATGATTCCATTGCTTTTCTAAAAAAAAAAAAAAAGAAAAGAAAATAAGATACTATACAATTTTACAATAATAAAAATAAATTAATTTTAATTAAATTAAATTTTACAATTTTTAAATAACTATGACTCGTACAAATATAAATAATCGAGCCAAAATTAAATCTATAATATATTTATATCATCATTATGAAACAATAAAAAAAAATATTTTCCCGCATTACGTGATGCAAGCCAAGTTATTGACACCATTTATATTCATTGCACAGCATCCACAAATTCCCTCACGACAGGATTTTCGATAGGATAACGTGGGATCATATTCTGCTTTTATTAATGCCAATACATCTAATACCATTGTACCAGTGCATTTATTTAAATCCACACTAAATTGTTGCATATATGGTTTTACATTTGGCTTTTCTGGATTCCAACGATATACTCGAATAGTTTGTAATCTTGGTCTTACTTCTTTTCTTCGTTCCTAAAAATTAATCATACCAAATCATTTAAATTACTTATATTTATTCTTTAAAAATGTTAAAACAATTTATATCTAATACCATATTGAATTTAATGTATTATATATATATCAATATATACATATAAATAATATAATTTATATAATTTTATCATTTTTAAAAATAAAATATTACAACCGAATTTATATAGAATCGATAAGATGAAAAGAAAGACGAAATATGTTATAACATATAAGGAAACGAAGAAAGCTTTTGACAATAAGTATAAGTTTCTTAATATAACTGTAACATTTATGACTGCTAACTTCTGGATGTGCTTTGCATTCTTTCACAATAGCTCTTTCGGTGGTCACAAATTTATCTTCCTCAGATGGTGGCTTTTCTGCCTTTTTTGTACTGGACAGGAATCTATGGCTTCGAAAACGGTTATTTTGACATATGTATCGACGAAGAGATGCAATTGTACAAGACCAAAATTGGCTCGCATGACTGATAGTATTAAAGTTGAACATAATTCTAAAAGTTTTATAAGAAATCTTTTATAAGTGCCACCTGAGATTCTATAAAGGCATATTTCGTTTTTCTAATCTTTCGATCATTTTGTTTTGTAGTGACCGTATAATTCTTAGATAAAAGAGAAACAAAATATCATCATTTGAAATAACTTCATAGTTCTCAATAATTTTTTCTTAAAAATGAAAATATTGTAGTGTATAATTAATATGCTAATATATATTTGATGAGAAAATAAATAATAATAAAATAAAAATAACAGTATATAGTATGTTTTGAGAATAATAATGTTTTAATTTATGATTAAATAAACATATATGTAAAAATATATATTTATATATATATATAAGTATATAATCATAATTCGCAATTATTTGTTAAAACAAATGATAACATTTTAGTACATACTATCCTAAAAATAAAAATATTTCCATTTCCTAATATTAATTCCATTCGTACCAAAAATTATTGACCTACACACTTGATATAGTAATTTGATGTTAATATTTATTGATTTGTTAATAATAACAATATTTCATATCTTTCTTTTTAAAAAATTTATAATTTATTTTTCTTCAATATATATTTATATATTCATTTATTTTAAAATTTAAAATAACAATTTATATTTTTTTTAAATAAATAATTCATGGAATTGTTGAATATTAATTATAAATATTTTTTTTGTATATATAGATTTTAACATCGCATTAATTATTATTAGTAATAACAATGAAAAAAAAGATTTACAAATTAGATTTAAATAAAGATATCTTTTAGAAAATAACAAATATTATTTTATTAGAAATATTATTCATATATTTATCTATATTTATATTTAAAAATAACAAACAATTATTATATTTCACTTTTTAAAACAATAAATAAACACTTGTTTCAATTTGTTATTGATATTATTGAACTTGATTATATTTATTTCACAATTCACAATACAGAATATTATGAATATCTTGATTTATTTTAAGAGGTCAGAAGTTATCATTCACATTTATATAATTATAATAGACTAACCCCCGCGAAGAATCAATGTTCTTCTTATAAATAAAGTTACTTCAATAAATATTTAGTTTTAGAAATATATAAGTAATAAACGTTTAAGCTCATTACCACCTGTTGCTTCAATGTATATAATTAGTATTTAAATACTACGAGTTAGAATAGACGAATTAAAACGATTTATAATTTTATATTACATATTGTTTTAAAAAAGTGAAAAAATATAGAAAAGTAAGTACTTAGTGACATATATTAAATATATTAAACGGAGGTTATAATTTTATATAATTTTATATCATATAAAATAGTTCATGATATCAAGATATTATTAACAGAATTTATAATAATATACAATGAACATTTGATAATTTTATACAATATATATATATATAAGTGTATGTATACAATGTGCTTAAATAATTTATAAAATTTATAAAAGTATTATTATAAAATTTTATAATAATATTATTATAATATATCAACTTAAATATATATATATAGAACTATTTTTTTATATTTTTTAATATCAAATTTAATATTTCTAGTATGCAGTATAATGTTTTGTTAATTGGTGGTGGTGGTAGAGAACATGCTATTGCTTGGAAACTTTCACAATCTCCTCAAGTAAATATTTGTTATATTAATATGCAAAATTTTATAATAATAATAAATAATATAATTTATATATAATATTTTATTTTTAAATTATATTACATTATATATATAATATATTATATTATATTATAAATAATAAAAATAATATTAAATTATTTTTTCAGGTAAATAAAATTTATGTTTCTCCTGGGAATTACGGACTTTCATTAGTCAATAAAGTTTCTTTAATAAATCTGAATGTTAAGAACAATAAGGTATATTTATCATTATTTTGTATATTATTGTATTATTAGGAATAAATAAAATAAAATTATGCTTTTTATTATATAAATTTTTTATCACTTAGGAAGTAGCAGAATGGAGTAAGAATAATAAAATAAGTTTAGTAGTTATTGGACCAGAAGAATATTTAGCTAATGGATTAGCAGATGAATTAAAAACTATAGAAATTAATTGTTTTGGTCCACAAAAAGCAGCATCTAAAATTGAAACTGATAAATATTGGGCAAAAGAATTTATGGATAGACATCAAATACCTACTGCAAGATGGAAAGGATTTGTAAATGCAAAAGAAGCAAAGAAATTTGTTATGAAGTATATATAAAATTTTATATATAGATAAATAAATTATAAAAAATTAAAAATAATTTAAATAATTTATTATATATTACTATATATATAATTTTATAGTGCACAATTTCCAGCACTTGTAATAAAAGCTTCAGGTCTAGCAGCTGGAAAAGGAGTTATAGTAACAAAAGATAAAGAAGAAGCATGTAAAGTTATAGATGAAATTTTGATTGATAAGAAATTTGGTTCTGCTGGTGAATCAATAGTTGTAGAAGAATTATTAGATGGAGAAGAAGTTTCCATACTTGCTTTTACAGATGGTATAACAGTAATTCTTTGTAAAAGAATATTCAGTTTTAATTATAATATAATTTTTATTAATTTTTTTTTTATAGGAAAAACTATTATACCAATGATACCTGCACAAGATCATAAAAGAATATTTAATAATGATATGGGACCAAATACTGGAGGCATGGGTGCTTATTGTCCATGTCCATTAATAAATAAAGATAATTATGAAATAGTAAAATCAAACATCTTACAAAAAGCTATTGATGGTCTTAAACAAGAACAAATTCCATTTGTTGGTTTGTATTATAATTGTATCATATATTTATATGATCATATATTTAAAATGATATTTAATATTAAAATTTTAATTATTATATATAATTTTAGGAGTATTATATGCTGGATTAATGTTAACAAAAGATGGACCAAGAGTTTTAGAATTTAATTCTAGATTTGGTGATCCTGAAACACAAGTAATATTACCATTATTGAAGTCAGATTTATTTAATGTTATGAAGGTAATTTATATTTCGATATAAAAAAATATTAAAATATAAATAATTTAATTTATATTGGCTTATATATAGGCTTGTTGTGAAGGTTCTTTAGTTGAATCTTTAATTGTTTGGGAAAAAAATTTGTTCGCTGTTGGTGTTATTTTAGCATCTCAAGGATATCCAATATCATCATCAAAAGGTCAAATTATAACAGGCATTAATGATGTTTTGCATACAAATTTTGTTTTCCATAGTGGAACAAATATATCTTCTAAAGGAGAATTAATAACTAATGGTACATTTTATATACAATTATATATATATAAAACTTAAACTTAATATTATATATTTGATTCTTTTTTTGCTTATTTTATAGGAGGAAGAGTTTTAATTACTGTAAGTTTAGCACCTTCATTGGCTTTGGCTGCTGCTAAAGCAACGCATGCCGCTCAGATTATATCATTTGATGGAAAACAATTTAGAACAGATATAGCACATAAAGGAATAGCAAGGTATCTTATAATTAATGTTATAATATATATAATTATATATATATATATTATATATATATATTATATATTATAATTATATATATATATATTATTTATAAAAAAATACTTTTAGATCTATATTACAAAATGGACAATTAACATATAAAAGTAGTGGTGTTGATATAGAAGCAGGAGATTCATTAGTTTCAGCTATTAAACCAATATCTTATTCAACCCAACGTTTAGGTTCAATGGGTTCAATTGGTAGTTTTGGCGGTTTATTTGATATAAAAGCTGCTGGTTATAAAGACCCAATTTTGGTATCTGGAACTGATGGCGTTGGAACTAAGTTAAAAGTTTGTATGTTTTTATTTAAAACTCAAAAATATAATACAATAATTTATATATTGTTATAGATAGCATTTGAATGCAAAAAGCATGATACAGTAGGCATAGATTTAGTGGCTATGTGTGTAAATGATGTTCTTGCACATGGTGCAGAACCTTTATTTTTCTTGGATTATTTTGCTTGTAGTAAACTAAATATTAAAATAGCTACTGATGTTATAAATGGAATAAGTAAAGGATGTAAGGAAGCTGGATGTTCTTTAGTAAGTAGAAATAAATTTATTTTTCAATTTTATTTATTCCATATATATATTATTATTTATTTACCATTATATATATATATATATATATATATATATATATATATATATATAATATTATTATTATTTATTTATTTTATTT